TCATATCGGGATTTTTCTGGGTTTAAAAAAAATAATATAACTCCTGATATTCTAAAGCCCAGTAAACTTTAAACGGGCCGAGTTGGGCCGGTCCGGGAATTTTGTTTGACTGATTGTTTATGTTGTGGTGAATGGGACAGATTCCCTACTTCTCTGACCTTCCTTTTCCGACTACTCTCTCAGTTTCCGACTCTTAATTCTTCCGTCAAACTCTTGCAAATCTCACAACCACGAAGCGTAAGAGACGAAATGAGCGTGATCAGTCCCATAGAAACCCTACACTTGAAGTCAACACTTCGTCTTCTACCTCGATGTCTCTCTCGCAGTCAACGGATTCAAGTTTTCCCGCCCAACAACATCTTCTCGAACTCTTCTTTGAGTTCTCCGATACGAATCGACCCGATTTCTCAAGGTTTGTTCACCTTATTGATCGATCTCATGCTTGTTTGGTTTCTGGGTACCTCCAAATTTGACTTCTTTCTTTCTCTCTCTTCGTATTCTGTAACCTATAGGTGTCGGATCTAGGATTTTGTGGCGTAGATATGTATCTGATAAGTTATCTGACATGGGTTTGGATCCTGGAGCTGATTCAAACAAGGTGCACTCTAAAAATCTGACCTTTTTCTGTGTTGGGTTTAATCATTTGCCTCAAGTCTTCTCAAATGTGTCATCTTTAATGTCAATAATGAATAACACTTTGGATTAGGAGACTTCTAGTTATCGAAATTTTGAATCTGATTAGCTTTAAATCCTCCTTGCATCACATTTCTGCTAATTTGTTATTCGTTTTTACTGATTGATCTCAATTTTTGAGATTTTTATGTTCTGTGCAAGAACCAACATGAATCTAGTTGTTGGCTTTGCAGGTTATTTAGCTGTATTTTTGTTTTTTGTTTCTGTTTCAGATGTACAATGAGAAGGCTTCTATAGTGGAAACATTGAAGAAAGCAAACTCAATTCTTCCTCATGTAGTGTTGGCGAGTACAGTCTTAGCTCTTCTCTATCCACCTTCTTTCACATGGTTTACGTCGAGGTTCTTGTTATATAATTCATGGAATTGGAAAAAGGTCAAAGTGGTCTAAGGCTTATAGACATCAGGTTTTCTAAAAGGTCTTCTTACTGTCCTGTTCTTTTAGGTACTTTGTGCCCGCTTTAGGGTTCTTGATGTTTGCGGTTGGAATCAATTCAAATGAGAAAGACTTTCTCGAAGCCTTTAAAAGACCAAAAGCTATTCTCCTTGGTTATGCCGGACAATATCTCATAAAGCCTATCCTAGGTTTCATCTTTGGCTTAGCTGCGGTTTCTCTTTTCCAACTCCCAACTCCAATAGGTAAAAGCTATCTTTGTCTCTTATCATTCAAGACTCTTAATCGATGAAACAAAGACTAATCTTTCCTCAATCTCAGGTGCTGGAATCATGTTGGTTTCATGTGTCAGTGGAGCTCAGTTATCAAACTACGCGACTTTCTTAACGGATCCATCATTAGCACCTCTTAGCATTGTTATGACATCTCTATCAACTGCTACTGCGGTTCTTGTCACACCGATGCTTTCACTCTTGCTCATCGGAAAGAAACTACCTGTTGATGTTAAAGGAATGATCTCCAGCATTCTTCAGGTCGTAATCGCCCCAATCGCTGCAGGATTGCTGCTAAACAAGTGAGAGATATAGCTGCAAATATAAGCACAAGTTGTTTCTCAAAGTCTAACCTTTTTTCTTCTTCAGGTTGTTCCCAAAACTATCAAATGCAATCCGACCATTTCTCCCAATTCTATCGGTTCTCGACACAGCTTGCTGCGTTGGAGCACCACTCGCATTGAACATAAGCTCTGTTATGTCTCCATTTGGAGCGACCATTTTGTTACTAGTGACAATGTTTCATCTCTCAGCTTTCCTTGCTGGATACTTCGTTACCGGTTCTGTCTTTAGAAACGCTCCAGACGCTAAAGCTTTGCAAAGAACATTGTCCTATGAAACTGGTAAATAAACTAACTCGTTGGTTTTCTTAATACCCTTCAAGAAATTACAGTATGGTTTAAAGATTTGAGAAGTGAAATGTTTATTTTTGTTGATTCTTCAGGAATGCAGAGTAGCCTTTTGGCTCTAGCACTTGCCACTAGGTTCTTTGAAGATCCTCTTGTAGGGATTCCTCCTGCAGTTTCTGTAAGTTGTAAAACGGCGTCGTTTTTTTGATATTACAGAATCTTTTGATGCTTCATAGAGTTTTTCGTTTTTGTTTTTGTTTTGCAGACGGTGGTAATGTCATTGATGGGGTTCTCGCTTGTTATGATCTGGTCTAACGAAAAAAGAGTGAAACATGTGTAAAATGTAATTTAATTTCACTCTTTATCTTTTGTTGAATTTTTTTGATTGGTCATAAAAAAATAATGTGATAAATTCATATTTCTTCTAATGAATATTGTTACTTGTCATGAAATTTATTTTTCTTCTAATTTCACTCCATCTTTGTTACGTAGAAATATGTCATGAGATGCAGTAAACTCAAAAGTCAAAACCAATGGTTTATGTTTTAATTGCTTTTTTTGTGTGTGTGTGTGGGTAATAGTAATAAAAGACGGTTCGACGCTAAACCCGGTTTAGTTTAAACCAAAACTTGAAGGGGAAAAAAAAAAATCTCAGCCATGGCGATTGCTTCAACAGCCACTCTTCTCTGCTGCTGCGCGAAACCAAATTTCCGGCGAAT